CCAGTAGGCTTCACATTTAAACCTGACCACATCTGTGGCGGGCATGTGTAGGCGAGGAGGGTGCCCAAGTAGCTGAAAATAGTATGGTTAATAGGACCTTTAGTAAGATGAACTTAAAAAGGCTTGTCATGCACATGAACTGGTTGCATTTCAGACCTTCACAGCAAGATGTATGGCTGTGGTTTCTGGAAGGGAGCAGAGCAGGAAGCGCCATCTCTGGACCTGTGTGATGCTGACTGTGAAAATACCTGGCCAAAATGCTGTGCTGCTTTGGGGGTGTCTTGGCAAATCACCTATTGTGTAAGAGACAAGTTAGAGCTGTGTTTCAGGCAAAGGATCTGGGGTGGGGCTCAAGATTACAGTTTGGATTTAAGAGATGCAGTTTATTAATTCTCAGTGTAAAAAGAGAAGTCCAGGTTCATCCTGGTGTGTTGCCCGTCCAGTAATTCTTGCTGTGATTGTGGTTCACAGGCACTTTTGAGGAATCCTTGGGCAGCACTTGGCTTGCTTTTTGTGTTCTGCTTTCTGAAGAGCACAGTAGCTGGGTTTTGTACAGATCTTTACAACAAAGCGTGAGATGAACATGGAATTTATCAAGAATAAATCCCTGTGGTTTATCCGTATATTTTTAGCCTACATTTGCAGATTGTCTTTCATTTCAAAAAGATCACAGAATATTTCAGGGGTGACTTACATGTGGTGCTGGAAGAAAGTGTAATAGCCAAAGCTTGGAGCAGTGACATGAATTTGGGTAGAAATGGAGGGACTCACTCAGCTGTTTCTGTATTGAGCACGGATGTTGTGCCTGGATTAGTATGGCTTCTCAGGTATCCCCAAGATGAACATGAGTATTGGTGGCAGGATAAGGCCTGTGCCCAGGCATGACAGTGATAAGAGCTGTTAGGTGTCATCTAACTGGAAGAAGATGTACTGAAAACGACAAGTGTTACACTGGGGTTTAATAGCATTTCCATGTTCTTTGGCCAATCTCTAGGTAACTTTCTAACTTTAAATACTGCGTGTATTCTTGCAGTGGAAAAGTGATTTCTGTTTGGCATTCAGGCATTCTCAGAGCACTGCCTTGATGGTTATAGGTAATTTTCACGGACATTCAGCCTGATATTGTTTTACTTGCTGAACTTTATACCCTTATGCTCGTGTTTTAATTTGGGGTAAAATGAGCAACACTTGTTTTATATCCGTTGCCAGAAGGAAAGGCCACTCTGAGAAGGTCCAGTCTCAGAAAGAGAACAGCTTGTTTCCTAATATTCGTTGCTGCTGAAACACTTCAGCAAACATCAGTGTTAAGGTATGTTTGGACACGGGCGTACATGAGCCTGGAAACATGATCTTTGATTGTTGACCCCTTTTTTTGTTTTAATGTAACCAACTTGACATCTGCTTCTGCCGCGCTGGGCTTTTATACTAGTTTATGCTACAACAGAATAGCTTCATTTACTTTCAAGAGGCTGCCCTAAATTTTTGTTGATGTAACTTCACACAATGGTAGTTTGCTCTTCTCTTTTTTTATAGATTTTTTTGGTTTTGTTTAGGTCTGTGTCCAATGCACACTTCTTTTATAATTATTATTCTTTTTTATGGTAATAGGCTCCCTGGAGTACCTCTCTCCCATAATATTTCTAACTGAAATTCCTCCTCTTTGTTGTCTTCCTGGAGCATGCATAGACAGGTAACTTCTCAGGTGCATAGTCAGAGAAGCAGCTGGCCATTTTATCGCATTTTTCTTCTAGCTCATTTTTTGAGATAACACGTTTCTACTTTTCTCACCAGCTCTTTTTTATAAATATAAAAATATCACCAAATATCTGGTCCTTTTAGATGCTTGCAGATGAGTACAGATGGAAGATACTTGGGAAGCAGCTCAGATCCGTTCCTTCATCTCCCCAGAAGTTCTTGCAGCCTGCAGCAGGGAGCTGCTGCATTTGTGAGCAGTTTTTAAAGCTGCAATCTAGTGGTTTGTATTTTGGTGCCACTGTTCAACTTTGACAAATGGGTGCCTTCCAACACCCGTTTGCCTGCAGCTGAACAGTGGGGTCACTTTGTCACCTCTGTCCCTGAAGTCCTGTATTGCTCTGCTATTACAATTTGTACCCTGAGACTGTGTCTGAGGTGCTTAACTGCTGCTCTGGCTGCTCCCGCTGAGGCAGGTCAGGTTCTGGGTGCTCTATACTCCATGATGGTTGTGTCCTTAGAGTTTCTTTCTTTGCTGTGTTCACTGCGTGGCTTGAAGAGTCCCAGCCTTTTGGTTTCTCCATCTGCAGAACTGGAAAGGTAAATTGGGTGTCTTATACATCGATGTATATGCAGGTCTGTCACAGGTCTGTCACACCGTCAGGTTGTTGCATAATGGAAAGTCTTTGGGTTTGAAGGACCTGCAACTTTCTTCCCTCTTAGTTGAGCTTTCACGTGGATTGTCTGTGGATCCCCTGATTATTTTATTCTTTCCTTGTGCTTTTATCTTGGAAATTGGGATTTTTTAAGACATCCTTTTAAAGTGGTCAGCTCAGTGATCTTGGTTTTCTTCTCTCAGGACCATGAAGATATATTTAAAGGCTATTTAATGTAAAAAGTTACTTTCTTCATTGCGCTGTTTTTGATGTGCCATTCTAGAGCTCCGAACACCTCCACAGTAACTCTTCAGCTTATACCCTAATAGACAGCTGATCTATTTATTGCAAATATTTTCTTTCAGGTGTTTTTGGACACTGGTACAGCTGAGCCTGAAGCTTGGCCATTCCTCTAGCCTTCATTTTTTTCTTTTTTTCTTATAAAAACATACACGGTTTCTGTTTTTCCTTAGTACTTGAAATTTGCTAACTACCTTTGTCTTCATACATGGAATCATAAAATCAACAAGTTTGGAAAAGACCTTTAAGATCATCAAGTCAGACTTTACCCCATACATTAAGGATTAAAATAAGAGCCAAAAAAATTCATTCTGCCTAGCCACAGCCACCTAAATTGGGGGGCAAAACTATCCAAGTTGTCAGTGGGGAGAGCAAGGAACCTATAGAAAGAAGCTTACTCAACCTGTTTTGGATGCACCTCTAAGTATGGGGTGTATAGCAGTGCAAGGCTGGTGCTTTATTTGCCTTTCAGTGATCTATAAAGTTGTTATATAAATACTTAGCTTGGATTTCTAGACTTCTAAGAGTAGATGAATCCAACCCATGGCCTGGTTTTTTGTAATTCTTTAGATTGAGGAAAATGAGGTTAAAAAAAGTTCTTATTGCAGTTACAGTGTTGGTTTTACTCAAAATACAGCGCATGGTTGATCTAAAATTGTTTTACTATTACTGCTTTAAAAAAAATCTGATCTCCTTGATGATCTGTGCTGGAATATGTTTCTGAGTGACAGGGACACTTTGCAGGTAAATTTATTATGGTTCTTACCATCTGCTTTAATAAATGAGTAAGCAGAGCATTTCATAATTACCTTCAGTTGTGTCAGTGGAATGTGAGTTTGAGTGTTCCAAGTGAATTATTGGCATCAGACTGCTAAGTATACTTAATTCTGGAAATAGTGATTTAACAGCTATTTGGATGCTCATCCTTTTATTTGTATGGCAACATGCTAATATATATTTAATGTAGAGTTTCCACACAGCAGCAGCTTTAGACACAGAGGGACTTTCCATGGTGTGGTGGTGAAGGCAGAGGTCTTATTGTTTATCCTTGCACACTTTGTTGAAAAATACTGAATGAGTACTTCGCTCTGTTGCCTCTTAGTTGAAAAGGAGTTAATAAAAGTAAATGCCCTAGAAGAAACTTATGGAATCAGTGAATAGATAAAATGTTATTATTTGAAATGCATAATGTTGCGTAATGGATTTATATAAAGTGTGGCAGAGACAGAAGTGCACTCCAGACATAATAAAAAGAACATGGATTTCTGTTTCCATAATTGAAGTTCTGTTGTACTTATCTGTTGGGGAAAAAATAGCAGGATTTTTCAAGACATTTGCTTTCCATTAGTAAATATATTTATCTGTAGCTCCAGATATTCCACCAAGTTGTTGGGGTTTTTTTTAAAGAAAAATTGGAAGGAGGATGCATTTTCTTTCAAGACAATTAAATGCTGTGACTGTAGACTATCTCTGCATTAAAAAAGTTCCAGTTGCTTCCACAGTTTACAAGACTTGCAGAGGCAAAACATGCTTCATCCATGGGCTAGGAGAAAAGGGTGTAAATATGTTATATTCCACTTTTCTTTTTTGAAGTGTAATGAACTGTTATTAATAGGTTGTAAAAGTACTTGCCATTAGCGGTCTGGAAACCATTGCATAAGGTGTGCTCTTGCTGTTTTCTCACATCAAAGTTCTGAGGTTTAACCTGTGGCTATGTCCAGAGCACTGGCAGAGGGATTAATATCAGCCTGGATTTTGGTCTTGGCTCTGCTCTGCAAGACACCACACAGAAATACAGGAAGCCTTGGAGCTCTGCAAAGTTCTGGTCCTCTCAATGCCACCAGAATATAAATAATAAAACCCAGTGTTGCCTGATAATTTATCCGGGCTCTAAACTCTTGACCTCACTGGTAAACGGAGAAGATTTCCAAGTTTTGTTTTCCTTGGTGTCTTGGTACCATGATCCACAGCTTCATTTGGGAATTCATCTCTGCATTCTCTACAGAGCAGTTTAACTGTTGTTAAAGGTTGTTGGCCTTCATCTGACAGCCCCTCTGAGAAGTAAAATTAGAACCATTAGGTAAATTTAAATACAGAGGTACCTGCATGCTATTCTGTCTGTCTCCCAAGGCATTCATAATGGCTGTTGACAGAACTGGCCTTTTTTTAAGAGAGCTGTGAATCTGCTGGTCTTTGCCTGGAGAGCTTTCATTTTCCTTAGAAATAAAAAGCAAAGCTTTCTCAGCATATTTTTGAAAGGACCTTTTTCTAATGTCATCATCCTGGGTTTCTCCTTTCAGATTTGGATTAAAGGATATTTTTCCCTCCTCTTTCCCTACTTCTGCATTACAGAAATGGCATCAGATATTCCTGGATCAGTGGCCTTGCCAGTAGCACCAATGACAAGTGGACAAGTGAGAATGGCGGGATCCATGCCTTCCAGAGGAGGAAAGCGCCGCTCTGGGTAAGCCTTTGGGTGTTTTCTTTTTAGGTCTGAAGTTGAAAATGACTGGTATTGAAGAACGGAAAATGGACTTTCATGTGAATGTTTATTATGTAATTTCTCTATATGTAAACTACATTATGGCATTAGTCACTGATGGTTTGTTTCTCTCTTCAATGTATCTGTTCTTCCTGCAAGATCAGACTTGCTGATAAGTGTATAGTTTGTTGTTCTGCATGCTTCAAAAGACTTTCAGGTTTGGCAAAGTATCGAGGAGTTGAGTTTGGCCCCTGTGGCTGTTGTATGTGCAGTGAATTGCACATTGCCTACATCTGTTTGATCTCAAAAGGATTTATCCTGTGAATAAAGGTAGTGAGATGTGTTTTTACTTGCACATGCAGACTAACCCAACTTCATCTGAAGTTTGGACTTGGAATTTCAGATGGAGGCCTTCTGTTAAAAATGTTTTCTTTACAGTCCCAGATAAGGAAATAGCACAGGCAGTCACTCTTCAGAAATTGTGGTCTATGATATTCGAGGTCTCAGTGGAAGTGCAGCATAGTCTGCTGCTGGGAGTAAAAGGCCTGAATCAAGTTCAGCCCTTGCACTAGCTTGAAGGCTCTGCTAAAGAAGGAAATTTATCCAACTTCAGATGTTGGTGTGGAATAGAGATAGTTCTTCCACATCAGATGGCTTCTGGCAACTCATACTAATCCTCTGTTAGAATAAAGGTGTACCAAGAGCTGCAGAAGGACGGAAAACTGCTTTTAGTATTAGCACACCCCCACCCCCGGTTTTATCAAAGGTTGATCACAAATAATGGTCTTTAGATGATGCTTTCTCAATGAGATCTGATCTGAGAGTGCCTGCAAGAGATTGATTAGTCTTATATTTAGCCCAAAACATGACAGTGACAAGACTTAACAGTTACAATACCATAAGTAAAATCTTCACTGATGGACACTTCAGGATATGTTGTTCCTTGTGAAAGCTGTTCTAGGGATTTGTTCACCAAGGTATGTTGCCACTTTTAGGTGTCTGATCAAGTAACAGTGCTGGAGTCTCAATCCTGGAATAGATTAACAAGGGAGAAGGTGAACCTCACCTTGAATGCAGAACTAAGTTGGTGTGATGTGAACACTCAGGATGGTTGTTCTGAGGAGGGTTCCTTCGAACAGGACAATTTAGAGATTACCCCACTGAATGTGCTTCATATGCTGAGCCAACTGTATGGAATTGGTCTGAGAAATTCCTGAAGTCTGTCTTTGACAAGCATCACATTTTTATTTTTTCGATGAAAAGTCCTTTTCAATCTTCCACTAAAAAGAGAAAACAAAGCATTAACTTCATTGCTACATAACATATATAAGCTTTCGTACTTCTGAGTTGCAGGATAGTTGATTTCTTTTTTGATCATAAACCATGTCAACTGCCAATACCAGTTTGCAAATTACTGTTACCAAGGGTTCATGCTGCTGACTGTGAAATCTTCTGATTATATGAAATAGTGACTTGATATTAATTGAAAGCTATGCTTTAACAGTTGCATTTTAAGTATCATCATCTATTTGGGAGAAAGTGGAGTGGGGGGAGGGTGGGAGGAACATAAAATCAAATTACTTTAAATTATTTAACATGCAAATTATGTAAGTTAGTACAGATTTGCTGTTGGACCCAGACGTATTTTATGTGTGCACCATAGCTCTGAGCTAATAGCCCTTGTCCAAACCTGAGCTGAGGGTGCATTTTTAGCTCTTTATTTGTTCCGTGTGTGTGTATTCAGACCTTGAGGGAAAGAATGCCTGCTGTGTCTAATTCTTCCTAGCTTCTCGTTGAACAAAGTTGCAGCTAACACTTGGTCCTTTCATTACCGTCCTGGTGATACATCTTTGTACACCTAAATCCTTGTGCATTTTAGAACGAATGCATTGTGTCAAACATAAAAGAATGTAGCTGGTGAACACAGTCATCTTTTCCAGCTTTGGTTATCTCTGAAAATTGTTTCTTTTCTCATAATTGCTGAGGCAAGCTGGCAGAATAATTGCTGTGTGGACTTGAATGTAGATCAGTTTAAACTCATTGGCTATACAGAAGGTGTTTCTGCTATGTAGGCATTCATCGACAGCTTGGAAAAATATTTTTCCTTTCTATAAATTATACCAGGTACTTTATAGAAGAAGTGACAGCATAAGGTGATGCACTGCAGTGGTCCATGGCTACTTTAGATTAATATAACATCAGTTCTTTATTTAATGTGGGGATTTTTTAGAATTTGCTGCATTAGAGGATATGGGGCTTTTTAACTTCCTAGGTTATCTGTGTCTGGGGAGGGAGGGTTGGTTTTTGAGTTGTTTTTTTGACTGGTTGGCTTGCAGTTGCATTGATTTTGTTTCAGTTCAGCATATAGTCTTGTCTCCTCTCTGTATGAGATCTGTAAGATCTAGGGAGATATGGGAAGGAAGCAACCTCAGCCCCCCTCCCTGGCTGTACCCCCCGATACTGTACTGAACAAAAGGCTGTAGTGCGGATCCCCATCTGCTTCTCAGCTGCATCTGCTCCCTATCATTCCTGCCTGCCCCCTTCCTATGCTGTATAATCATGGCAAGCCATCTTTTGACATTCCTTGGGAATTTTACATAATAATTTTGTTGCAGTGTTCAAACCCTCCCCCATATCAGTTTTTTTACCAGTGCAGGACCACCTTATGGGAGGAGGGATTTTTCTTCATATGAAAATGTTTCTGCTTAAAAATAAATATTTTTTAAAAAACATTTTTGTCATGGTATTTATTGTACCCACTCATCTTTTTGAGAAAAATGTATATTAATAAGTACCTCGTACATCAGGTCTTTTCATGATTGACATGAACAGCATGAAAGAGGAAAACAAAATTTATGCTGTCTCTTCAAAACAAAAGAGCATAGTGCAGTTCTTTTAAAGTCTCTCTTTAATGGGAATTTGAAATGAAGATAAAAGGTTCTCTTTCTGAAACTTCTGAAATGGTGTCATTTGTCTTCTTGGAGGCTGCTTCTGCTGTTTTGCTAATGTGCAAAGTGTTCTATCTAAACAGAAGATCTGATCTGTCAGGATATGAGGAGTTTGTTGGAATATTATTTTTATATGTTCTGCTGTGTTCTGCTAAAGATTACAACTGATTCCCTGCCTTTCTCTCCATCCTGCTGTAAAGCAGACATGGAGGTTCAGGCAGGATGTTGGAACCAATGACTTTATACCTGAGATTTTTTTTTTTGCAGGTTTTGAAAAGGTTTTCTTCATCTTGCACAGTGAAATGTGAAATCAGGAAAGGAGGGACAAAGATGCATTTACTGTTGCGCTTTTGCAAGTATTGACTTTTGAATTAGCTTCATACGAAATTTCTTATTTTTAATAATCTTCATTTGAAATGAAGCCAAGTTTTTAAAGTAATTCAGCAAAACAGAGGCATTATTTAAGATTTAGTCTGTTACAGTCTGGTGTTGCACCCTAGGCACTCAGATTCTGCCATGATGGGCCAACTATAAATTTGAGGGTATTGCCTGTATATATTAACCCACTGAGATCTTATGAGAAGCTGATATCCAGCCATCTCAATAAACAGGTGTTAGTTCCACTTATTCCTTTGGAAGTAGATATACAACACAGGCAGCAGCATCAAGCCTTAACTGTCATCGGCTTCTCTGTAATTCTCTGCATTATATTCCAATAATAATAAACTAGACTAAATGCAGTAGAGCTGATACTTGATTTTGGGGAGAAATCCATCTCTTGTTACTCAGCTGGAGTATTTGGCTGGAAGTTAAGAAAATTGAGGCACAGGATCTCAGTGTATTGAGGGGAAAGAAAGGGATTAGAAAATTAATCCATCCCATTTTAAAGCAGTGCCTTGTTAAATCCCCAAATAAAAGGCTTCCCTGTAGGTATATATATTTTCTGCAGCTGTTTTCCCTTGCATTTGAAACTGGAGGTTTCTCTCTGTTGCCCGTGAAACCGGAGAAGGATAGGCCTGATGTGATGCTTTTGTGAGCAGTTTCAGGTGGAGCCAGCCCAGTGCTGGTCTGAGTATGCCCTCTGCTTTTAAACAGACAGCTCTCTTCTGAAGCGTACTTCCACATTCTCAGTGTACATAGAAACATTGGGATTGAAATAACTTAGAAGTTTGTTCTGGAATCTCACCTATAGCCACCTTGTTATATGTGGGGAAGAAGCAGGTAGGTAAGAGGAGACTTTGGCTAGATAATGTGTTAAATTGCTGGGAGTATTGTCTGTACAGCAGGTCTGGGGAAATTTAGGCTGCTGGTACTGAAGGCCAGATTTGGGGTGATGGGTAGCAGCACATTGGCTGGGTCCCGGCTTTGCTGCAGGCTCCGTGGCTCTATCAAGGGCTCTGGCCACTGGAGGTCGGTGGTGTTCTGCACAAGGCAGCTGAGAGGTCACGGACCTTGAAACCAGTTTGGTGATAATTAGGCAAGCAGAAGTGTAATTTATAATGAAAATGATGATTACATCAAACTTAACCAAATTAGATACATGTTTTTTCTCAAGACTCTTTGGGGAAAATGTTTTTCTCTGTACTTTCTCCAGAAATGAAGAATCACTGTTTCCATCTGGAAAATATTACTGTGACTTTTCTAATACTGTTTCCAATTCTTGTGCTTGTTCCTTGTCCTGACTGTACATAGATTGCTGTGACTCGGACACATCCTTCATAGACCAGTCTCTCCTGGTTATCAGAGTTAAGAAGGAAGGCAGTATTGCCTGTCTGGCACTCATGAAATATGTATGCTGATGTAGTTTTAGAGAGCATTTTGGCAACGTTGTTCCCACACTCTGAACATACAAATCTCAATTTTTAATTGCTGGGGTTTCTTTTAATACTGAGGTAAATATTGTCACCTTGCAGGGTTTTTGCCTTTAATAGGACTTATATCTGTTAATATGAAGAGTGTTAGAGACATGGAATCTGTAATTGTGTGAAGGTTTGTTACACTGAAAAGATAGAAAGCTGAAAGTGTTAAAGAAACACGACAAAACTGTTTGCAGAGCAAAACCATGATTGCTTATCTACACAAATTACACTGACTGCATATCATACTGATGTATTTTCTTATTGAAAAGTACACTAATGCAACAATTGTATTTGATAATTTTATATCATCTTGGTTCTTAATCTGCCTTAATGGCTGAGTCACCCTCTTATAATTGAGATTATATGTTTGTTCACCTCTTTTTAAAGGTTTAAAAATGAGTAAAATGTTTTGGAAATTATACTGTTGCATAACTTTCTAGGAACTTGGTATCAATGGGAAGGAGACTATCACACTGCCTAATGTAGGAAACTAATTTAGCTGGCTAATTTAGGAAGTTAATCTTCCTAGTCTCTCTGTGTAAGAAGTGAAGAAAAGACGTTTCTGCTTTTTGTTGCTCCCTGGAGGAGCCTAACTGGAGGGAAGGGATTTGCCCCAAGGAAGAGCTCATCTCTTCCACTGACTTAAGAAGAAGGTCTGGGATATAAACCAGGTAAGTTAGGTGTACACTAGGCCCATAGGTCATTTTTAGTATTGACCACAGGAATAGCACAAAGTAGTTGCCATTTGCAGACTGGGTAATAATTTGAACTGATGGGTTAATTTAGGGCAACTCTAAAGAATGTACTACAGTTACAATCAGTAGCAATGATGTAGATAATCCTCATAGCAGGGAGGCTGGGAGTTTATTCTGTTCTACATCTAGCTTTCTTTAGGCTGCGTCAAAACCAGTGTGCTGGCATTTAGTATGTGTACAGCTTTAGAACTTTTTCCTTAGTCTTTAGTCCTTGAACATAGGGTCGCCACTGGTTTCTATAAACTTCTGTCAAGCCTAAAAGATATTTTTACTTCTGACCATCCTAAAAGAAATTCATTTGTTTAATATCTCCTTTTATTTGTTAATTTTAACAGTGCGGATTTCTGCGGAGAAGTCTATTACTTTACTTTAAAAACCCCAACAACTTGTGTTCTTTGTATTCCTGGCAGTTGATGAGCTACCTTTAGGGGTTCTGGAGAATATGAGCAAGTCTGGAATCTGCAGTTGTTAATGCCTCCAGTCAAAATATGAATTAAACAAGATTGAGGACCAGTGGCTTGATTGTTAATGTCACCATTACCAACGTCATGATTACTGATTTGGAAATCTTGCTTTTACAGGATGGACTTTGATGACGAAGACGGGGAGGGACCCAGCAAATTTTCAAGGTGAGCATTTACAGAGAGTTGGCCAAATCACTTGAGTTTTTTCGGTGGAGAAAGACAGCTGTCTCACTACTAATGCTTTAAAGTAAATATGAATGTGGATAAAGAACTTGCCAACAACTTGACCTAAATTCTGGTTACTGTTTCTATAAGCTTCCTTTGCAACTGGCAGAAATCTGCCTAATGTAGTTATTGGTTTACATAGCTGACAGCGTATGTCATAATTTTGCTTTGCAGCTATGTCAAATGGGAAAACTTGTGACTTTCAGGTTATTATTTCTATGATTCTATGATTATTTCAACTGTTGTACATGAACTCTGGTTGTTTGACATTGCTGAAGTTGTCTTTCTGGCACTGAAATGAATTTTATTTTGAATTCCTTTCAGATGTTAACTGCTTGTTAAGATAGGATGACAGGTCCTAGAGATGTGAACTGTTTAAGATTAAAGCTCATTATATACTCTTAGGTGTACCTAAATAGTAAAAATTGCCAAAATAAATATTAATTAACATGGACTATTCTAGGCTAGAAATAAAACCAAACATTAAAGCATCATTGCCATTTTTTCACTTTTTCTTTTCCCCTGATCACACTGTTTGCATTTTTTTCCATTGGAAACCAGGCAGCTACAGTGAGGGGTAGATTCTTTGAGGCCTACAAGTAACTGCTGGTTATCCACACTGTAACTGCAGCATTACAGCAGCAGTCGTGTTGAAACACAGTTGTCCCCATAGGGTTTTCAACAGGATCCTACTGGGCATGCTGAAAGATATGTGTGCGGAATATGTGTTGTAACACTGTTGTATCATAACCTACTGGACAAGACCAGCAGCACCCTTGTTTAGCTGATGTCATTTAAAGAAAGGATATTCCAGTTCCTGGTGTTAAAACTGTTGATCTGAGGGCTAGTCCCAATGTTTGGTGGGCTGCACCTCCAATACTGTGTTCAGTTTTGGGCTCTTCACAAGAGAGATATTGAGGTGCTGGAGTGAGTCCAGAGAAGGGCAATGGGGCTGGTGAAGGGCCTGGAGCACAAGTGTGATGAGGAACGGCTGAGGGAACTGGGATTTTTTAGTCTGGAGAAGCTCAGGGGGACCTTATCGCTCTCTAAGTACCTGACAGGAGGTTGTAGTGAGGTAGGGGTTGGTCTTTTCTCCCAAGTAACAAGCAATAGGACAGGAGGAAATGGACTCAAGTTACATCAGGAAAGTTTAGATTGCGTATTAGGAAAAATTTCTTCACCAAAAGAGTCGTTAGGCATTGGAACAAGCTGCCCAGGGAAGTGGTGGAGTCACCATCCCTGAAGATATTTAAAAGACATGTAGATGTGGCACTGAGCAGCATGGTTTAGTGGTGAACTTGGCAGTGCTGGTTAACAGTTGGACTTAATGACCTTAAAGGTCTTTTACAACCTAGATGATTCTGGTATTCTAAGATTTGTGATGAATGTGACCTGATTTGTGCCTGCATAAGTGTCAGGGTTGCTAGGCACACTGGTTCATGTGTGTTGGTCTCTCTCCATCCTGGCTTCAGCCTTTCAAAGTCTGGTAGTGGGGAGAGCCATAGTTCCTTTCATTTCATTGGAAAGGTATGCTGTACTGTGCTTAGACTCAGCTGATTTTAGATGTCAGATTTAAATGTTAAAATGCTGTTCAACTGTCAGATTGTTCTGCTGTTACAGAGTGTGGGAAAACAGTGCAGAGATGCTCGTGGCCATGTTCAGACATCCCTTCTAGTTGCGCCCCTCTTTTAGGACTTTTCCCTTCCCCAAATACGTCACGTGGCTGATTCCTAGCTTGTATTGGTCAAAATTATTTGGTTAGCAAAGAAGTGCTGTTTAAATATTTAAGCTAGCCTACCTGACTTCATGCCTGAAGAAGCATGCACATAGTGAGGTCAGCTGGGAGACTGAAAGGGAGAAAACAGTAGTTGGAGGCAGTAACATCGTCAGCTCAGCTAGTCAGGTGAGGATTAGTAGAAAAACCCCAAGCTAGTGGGAGCACAGGGGAGAGTGGTGTTAGTACAGTACTCCATGTGAGTTAACACACCTTGCTTCTCAGGGACTTCCAAGCCAGCTCAGGTATCTCTGCGTGGCATCTCATTCTCACATGGAAGCGTATGCATGCACTTCTCACCAAATGGTATGTGGCCATTCCTCATTGAATATGTCTTTTTGTTCCAAATTCTTCTGGTCAGTCTCTTCTCTGGGCACATTCAAGTGGAATAAAGTGGTGTTTTCACTTGAATGAGTTGAGGGTGCTGGTGTTAAGCACAGCATAGAAGTACAGCTCAAGGCTCACTTAAGCTTTGTCTTCAGTGTTTGAATGAGTCATAATGAGGAAGTATGAAACCTTACAGAGGAACTTGCACAGTTGGGATACTTAAAATTAGTTTTAATTCATTTGAGAAAAAGTTCATTACTAGTTTTGTAGAGACAAGATGCTTATTTATTTTATGCTGTTTAACCTTGTTAGCTAATTCATGGGACTTTCATAGGCTGTCTGCTGTAATAAATAGCATCATTTTGGAAAGGCATAATTCCAATACGAAATCTCACTGGACTGTTCTTGAGCAGAAATACTGTTCACTTCTAGAGAAGCTGTTAGCCTTATTTTTGGTATTTTCAAACCCCTACAAACTCTCATTTGGAAAAAAGCAGTTTGGTTTCTCCAAAAGTAAGATCTTTTTCAAACAAATGCAGTTTTTGTAGCCATGCTAGCCAAACCTGATTTCAAATGATGAGTCTGTTTTTAGGAAAGGAGGAGCAGCATGTCATTCTTTACTGAAATGTCACATTGCTGCCTGTCTCTGGGACAACGCTTCAGAAACAGTGAAGCTTTAATCCCACTGGGCTAAGTCCAATTGATCTGGATTTCCTCCATGAAGTTGCTGCCGATACACCACACATACCTGTTTGGGCATCCAACTGCAGTTGATTTGGGTAGGAATGAGGTACCTGTTTACTTCTGGGATTTAAGCCAGTTTTAATTTCACTTCTATTTACCCAGCAGTTTCATCTGCCTGACTTTTGCCAGTCTTCCCAACAGACGGTACAGTGTCTGTACCTGCTGGAGCTGTTTTCTGAAAGCGTCCTTATATAATACATTGCACTTAAACGTGTGTCTCTGCCCTCCCATGTTATCTGTAGACCATCAGTGCCCTCTGCTGAATGGAGTGAGTTGTGGTTGCAATCTGGAAAACATACAGCTCCTTCACTTCCAAACGGCAGTGAATATTTCATGGACTGCTGTAAATCAGAGCTCAGTGGTGTTCTCTGTAATGGTGCTGGTTGTTAAGTTTCCCAAGCAATGAGTGTATGTCAAAGTGTTTGCATAAATCCAGTGAAATGTGTCTCCAACTTTTTTAAATATATAAATGAAGCTTTTGAATCAGCATGGCTTGGAAGTTTCATCAGACTATGTTTTCTTTGCTTTATCATTCTCATGCCCTCATTTTTCTTGCTGTTATTTGTAATAGTTTGCAGTTGTGAACCTCTGCTTTCTGCTGTGTGTTGAATGTCATGTGGTGCATAAGCCTTGTGGATTTACTTACTGTCTTTTGTTTCTAGGTATGATGGTGATCAAATCTCTGGTGATAAGGAAAAGTTCGCAAGGTAGGCGTGTTCTGTAGAGCTCTTCTGCTGAGAGAAAAGAGGGGGATGTTCGTGTCCAGAGAATCTCAGTACGTGCGCATTAGCTTAGAGAGCTGGTTATTTTGTTTGTAGGTGGGACAATGATCAAAGTATTGCTGACACAGAAAGGATGGCATGGTAGGAAAAGGGAAAATCAAATATGGTTTGCCCCCATTTTTATTTTATATGATCCTATCCTGACTGATCAGAAGTCAGGAGGGTTGGCTGATCCAAACATGTTTGAAATCAAAAATAGTAACCTTGGACTTAAGTGGGTTTGGATCAGCTCCCACACTCTACCGAGATTATGTCCCTCCAAAATTTCCATATAAAAGTAAAGCTAGTAGTGACAGAATTAGGACAGCATTCTGTAGATGTGTTCGTGAGTGCCAGGGTTCCCATGGCAGGCACTTTTGCAAGAGGAGCACAGCCCCTCTTTCTCTTTTAAGGGTTTAAATGTGAAGCAATTTCAGTAAAGTTTCAGGGTTTTGTTTGCTTGAACATGGCCAGTTGATGAACATATTGTTACTTTTCAGCTTTTATGAACATAAATGAAATGGATTATTGGATATTCTTCTCAGGAAGTTTTGCAACCTCTTTGTTCTTTATTTTGGTTGTTTTCAATGTTCAGGGTTATTAAAATACTTCAGTGGCAGACAATGTAATATGTACTTATAAATGTAAAATATATGTTGAACATGTATGTTCTTTGTCTCTCTTGGTCACCATTTCTGTGAAAATGCTGAACTTAGAGCAAACTTTCATCCTGTAAAAATGCATTTTTCTTCCACTTGTCTGTATTTATCTCCATGTGTATGATGAGCTGTGCACTTGTGCTGTTACATCCATGTGCACTGTCACACAAGCTGTTCTGCTTGTGTATTTGTATAAAGTGTGGCTCCCATAGGCACTGTTCTCTTCTACATCTGTGAAAACCTACACAAAGGCTGTTTATCGGCCATTTGAAGTGGAAAGGTTCACTATTACAGTGTATTAGATAAGTAGTGACCTTCACCAAGGAACTGGCTGTAATTTGCTGACCAGCCACGGGCTATCATTGCAGGGACCCATAGTTGGATTTCCTGAATCAAATAGTAACCATAGGCATCAGGAGTAATAACAAACAACTGTGCTAGTAGCCTTAACAAGTGGCATTTCTGGAAACAATGCCTCATGCATATAACATGAGGGTACACATTTTAGAGCAGGACAAGCCCATGCATTCCTGTATTTTAAGAAGCAGCATACTATGACTTAGATTCCTCCGTGCATTTTAAGAAAAGACTCCATTATTAAAAGTAGCCAGAAAGTGTGCCAAGCCTACGTTCTACTTTCATAATCAGTCTTCATAACAGTCAGCTCCAAATAATGTTGCAGTTTCTTTTACTGTTGTGTTATCATACTGGTCAATGCTGCTGGACTTCTCCAAGTGATCAACTTTCACAAGAAAATGCCATACAGAGCTCACTGAAGATGCTGCTTTGACATCTGAAGCATCATGTACCTGTTGTGTACTTGTATTTAGCTGCCATCAGACAGGTACAGTATGGGAAAAAATAAGTGCTAGGCACTGAAGTATTCTAGGTCCATTTGGACCATTTCAGATATATGTATTGGTGTAGTTCCTTAATAGCGATCAAACAATGGTGATTTACAGTAGGGGAAAACTGAATTCTCAGATCTTCAGTTCTGAAAGATTTTGGTAACTGTTCATTTTGAGAACTCTCAAAGTTGACTCACCATGTCAGTCATATGTTTCCTATAAAGGATGAGAACACTGGAGCTCGTCCCAAAGTGGGGCAGCACCAAGTACTGTCATTGTTATTTCCCTGGTGTGCTAGAGTGTTCTTGAACATAAATTCTGATCTGTGTCTGACAAGCCAGATGTTTATTTGCTGTCTTTCATACTCATTTATTTACTGGGATTTTTTTTTGTATGTACTGTTTTACCATATATGGTCCCAGTCCTGCAGTCTGATCCTGCAGGCATGTCGTGTCTCCCTACAGGGGTGCAGGATGTCCCACTTGGCATTACAGGACTGGAGATCTGTGTTGTCACTGAATGGGGACTTTTGTAAGACCTGACCTGATCCAGCTGTTGTGTTTCCTTAAAACAAGACCTTTTATAAGCAGATCCAACACCTTGAACAAGGAAGCTGTGAGATACATCCCAGAAAATTTGGGAGTTTGGCTGGACTTGACAGTTGACAGTTCTTCACATCTTTCTATTTCTTTTCTTTTTTTCTCCTTAAACCAAAGGAGGTTAAACCGGTTAAGAGAGTAAGGCCACAAGCCAAAAGCTAGAAATAGGGGTTCTTCTCAGAGCTATGGGTCCTTCTATGGCCTGGATTTTCTGTCTAGAAACTGAGGGATAATGGTGCTTAGTTTTGTAAAGCACTTCGCTCTCCTGGGCTGAAAACAGCAAAACAAATATGAAGTACTAGGGTTCATTACCTCCAATTGAAATTCTTATCATGTCTGCTTTTCTGTTCGTTTGGTGTTTCTTTAAATGTTCAGGGAGAATCATAGTGAAATTGAGAGACGCAGAAGAAACAAGATGACACAGTACATCACCGAACTGTCTGATATGGTCCCCACTTGTAGTGCATTGGCTCGTAAGCCTGACAAGTTGACGATTCTTCGGATGGCTGTTTCACACATGAAATCAATGAGAGGCACTGGGAACAAATCTACTGATGGAGCTTACAAGCCTTCATTCCTTACAGAACAGGTAGATTTTTCACAAGTACCTGTTTTCTCTGGTTTGTGGTCTTAAGAGACGTAAGGAAACGTTGAGCAAACATCAGCTTGATCCTTTGCTGTTGTGTAGTAACTGGTACAAGCTATGTATTCAAGGTGTTTGTGACTGTTTGGACTTGATTTTAGCTATATGTCCAATCTTTCTCCTAGATGTAGCAAAATGCATGTTCTTGTTGAGGACTGTCCATCTGAAAAGCAAGTAATTTGGTGCTTCTCATCACCGGAAAGGAATTTTCACCCCCAGAACTGGGTTTTTCCCATGCTAACAAAGGTCCTCTAAAATAGGTTAGAAATTAATCTGGAAAGACCTGCCTTTCCCTCCTGGGTTTAGAGGGAGGTTAAAAACATTGTTTAGTCTTAACGCCTAAATTCCCAGCAGCTGAACTGGGCAGAGATGAATCCCATCTGTACTGGCTGAGGTTACATTTTGGATGGAAGAAGGAAGATGCACCCAGTGCTCGAAGGAAAACTGTTTAACTGAGTGCACTGACAATTTCTACCACTTTCATTGTTTTTGAAGTCCTGTGGGTGTAATTGTGCGTTTTCATGGTCTGAAACCATTTAAGCACTTACACATGTAAGTTATGGCTAAAGGCAATACTTCCTTCTATTAGAGAAACAGCAGCTGCTGCTGACCTTTTAGTGATCACATCTCTACTTATCCTGGCTTTCCTGCAGTGTGTTTCTGGAAGGACTGTGCCATTCAGCTGGTTCTTGGTAGGGTGCCCTAGTCACTTCTCATTGCAACTCTTTGGGTTTTGAATCCTGCAGAATGACAGAGTTTATCTTCATCTTTGTTAATAATGTATGCAAAACCAGGTCTCATTATCCTCTGTATAGTGCAGGCAGCTATGCAGTCAGGTTTTTATTTAGCCGGTGCTTCTTTGTGCTTTCGTTAGAGTAAAGCAGAGAAGTTGACAGGCTGTTAAGTGTTTCTTGAGATGAGTTACCCATTCCTTTAGTAGAATTTACCAGACTTTGATCCTCACTTTATTAGCTAATATCTACCACGTGCACAGTAGCCATGCTGAGCAGTCTATCCTGGAATTGGACTCAGCTTGTCCAAAGCCCTCTGAGTTCCAGATGCAGTATGTTAAGCTCTGGTGGTTACTGGAGCCACCAAGCAAAGGCTGTTCAAGCTTGTTTCTCAGGAATTGGAGTGGTACTTATGATCCTTTCCCCTGAGAGGCTTTTAAGCTCTGTTAAGCAAAGGTGGTGTTTCTGTGTGATGCATGCAAACAACTGTTTAGATGTGCAATTCAAGGGTTTGCGTGCCTAAATCCAGTGTCTGAAAGTGAGGGGAGTACCTTGCTTTAAAGGACTATGGTCCCCCTTCCAGAGCTCAGGTGGGGTCAGGGCACTAGTTGCTGTGTCTCAGGTGGATGTGTGGGTCTGTCAGATATCTGTCTCAGGACAGAAGTACCCAGGATGATGAGCAGGGGACTATGTAAAGAAAACACCAAAGACAGGGTGTACTAGACCCTTTGCATCTCTGAGGTTTCACATTCACAGGCTGGAATAAAAAACCAAGAAGTGATACAACTTTGTGTAGTGGCTTGGGCCCGCTAATAGGAGGGGAGGCTGAGGTTTCCCATCCCCATTTCCACTTAATGCCTTTTATCCAGAGACTTTAATTTACAAACAGAGCTCATACGGAGGAGGAGAATGGATGACATGACACAAACCAGAATGACTTGTTGGTTTCTTTCCAATTAATTTATTCAGGACGTTTAATGAAAGGATGAGTTTGCCATATGAGTTATAGCTGTTCATTTCCTCTGTTTGTACACTGAAATAACTTTTTATTTTTTAATGTTAGATGCCCATCACACAATATGTAGTGAGTTTTATTTACTTGATTTTCTTGAAGTGCGCTGAGATCACCAGATGAAAGGCAATCAAGAAAAACAAAGTGTTGTTTGTTATTAAGATCAGCAATTTATGGCTTGCTGCAAGTTTGGTTGTGCTGTTCTGTTAATACTACAGTGAAAATTTCTGCCTAGGTTGTGATCAGCTACTACGATCACAAGAAAACAATATTCTTTGGCAGTGACAGATGTGTTGTTTAATCCCCTTGTCTTGCTGGCATTCTAATCAAATCCTTTCTTTGGAAGGAACTGAAACATCTTATCCTGGAGGCTGCAGATGGGTTCCTGTTTGTAGTTGCAGCTGAGACGGGAAGAGTGATCTATGTATCAGATTCTGTGACTCCTGTGCTGAACCAGCCACAGTCTGAATGGTTTGGCAGCACTTTGTACGAACAGGTTCATCCAGACGACGTGGAAAAGCTGCGAGAGCAACTATGTACATCTGAAAACTCTATGACAGGTCAGATATGTCTAATGTATAGTTCTGTGTGACGGATCCCTGCACAGTTTTTGTGATGTTCAAAATGATGGGTTTAAAAATCTGGTAAAAATGAAATTCAGCAAGGTTACACTGCATTTTTGTGCAGCCAGTGCAATAATAGAAGTCTTCTTTTGCATGACTATATTTTGCATCCTATTGTTTGACTTTAGTCAAACCACCTTCAGGAAGCTCTGCATCCAAACTCCTCCTGGGTTGGGTAGGTTTGGAATCTGGATTGTTTTCAGGCTTGGCCTGGAAATCTAGATTGTTTTCCTTTCATCCTCAATGAACTTGTGACTTCTTTACAAATATGTGTTTCTTTAGGGCAGTGTTTATTTTGAAGGCAAAAATCATACTTTAGACTTTCCCATTTTCATAAAAATTCCTTGCGGTTTGCTAACGGGAATCCTGGGGGAAAAAATCTAGTGTCTGGCAGCTGAAAACGTGGATTTTAAACAGGAGGCTTGATCCTGTAGCAATGGTATAAGTTAGCTGTAAGTTGACTACCTATCATTTCACACATAAAACTAAACCATATTTCTGTGTTCAGTACAACTCTGGCTTTTACAGTTGTTCAGCCTCAAAGCTGACAGTAGGAAACTACCCTTGTCTTTAATAGGGTACATGTGTGTTAGAGCTACGAGAATTAGCTAAATCCTGTTTTAACTCAAACTTGGAAAGGAGAAAACCCAACTTCTCTTTTTATTCTTCCACATAGTATGTTTATAAGTAAAGGAAAAAAAAGCTGGGGGAAAATACAACAAAGTCCTGATCCATGCAAAAATCACATAATTCCTCCTTGCTTTAATAATTCATAATTCTGACCTCGTTTGCTGGAAGTTTTGTTATGTTTCATAACTCAAAAGACAGTGATCCAGTTTTGAGTGAACCTGCACACTGTTTACAGCTTCCATGTCAAAACAGTGCCAAATTCATGATTTCCTGTGGTTTAAATGTGATGTGGTTTTGGCAGAGCTTTCATATATTCAAATTGGAAACTCAAAGCAAAATTCTGTGGTGAAAATCCAGATGGATTAAAACCAAGTGAACAGTTAGGGGAACCTGTGCAGAGCAAAACAGCTGAGTTTCGTACCACGAGACTTGCAAAAGAGCACAACCTCTGTTTCTGTTATGTAGCATGTAATGCTTTTTAATGTATATACCATCTTCCTTAAAGTAACCTCAGTGAACAGTCATGTTTTGACTTCCAAAAGTGCTCAGTTATGGGGCTTAACCTGCTCAAACTAACGCAGGACTAGACAATACAGAGCACTTTTTTAAAAACCAACTCTGTTTTTTCCAGTTTTAACTGTGCATTTTTCTTTTACACTGAATTCATCTGTAGCCAGTGGAAAGAGAAGTTCAAATAATAGTATTTATAATGCTAATTTTTTTCACTACCTGAGTCTTTTGGAGTTGTCAGATTGACACAGAAGGCCTGTACCTGTGCTGTATATGGGCAGCTGAATGTTTTTCCAGCCTGTTTAGAGCCAGGGTAGCCTGCTTAGCTGCACTCCTTAAGGTTCGGAGGCAGGCTGGATGTAGAAAGGTGCTTTTAAGGAACTGGAGAGTGTGTGTAGTTACAACTGTTCCAAGCAAGTACTAGTAAGAACAGTGTGTAATTGCTCCTAACTATATGGAGCACACTGTGCGAGTTTTCCTTTACAAAGTTGGTATGGTTACATATACAGTGCCACTTTTTGGCCAGCTGAACATCTCACAAACTATAAACCAAATAATTCTGCTTCTGAATCAAGCATAGACATATAGTTGTATGTATGTCATCTCTCATCAGATCATCATAGAACAGATTTTTAAGAGGTCTGCTGCAGTTTTATAGCTTTTAAATAAATGTAGTGTAAAGCAAGTGGCATCGTAATATAGGTCCTAGTTTTTGAGTAGTTTTGGTTTAGAGCTCGTAGAATCATAGGATCATTTAGGTTGAAAAAGACCTTTAAGATTATCAAGTCTAGCAGTTAACACAGCACTGCCAAGTCCAGCACTAAACTATGTCCCTAAGTGCCACATGATATAACCAGTGAAGCATATTTAGTTAGTATACTAGTAATTTTGTCAGTCTGTAGAGCATAGAATCATAGAATAGTTAGGGTTGGAAAGGACCTTAAGGTCACCTATTTCCAACCCCCTGCCATGGCAGGGACACCTCACATTACTAAACCATGTCACCCAAGGCTCTGTCCAACCTGGCCTTGAACACTGCCAGGAATGGAGCATTCACAGCTTCCCTGGGCAACCCATTCCAGTGCCTCACCACCCTCACGGTAAAGAACTTCTTCCTTATATCCAATCTAAACTTCCCCTGTTTAAGTTTTAACCCACTACCCCTTGTCCTATCACTACAGTCCCTAATGAATAGTCCATCCCCAGCATCCCTATAACCCCCCTTCAGATACTGGAAGGCTGCTATGAGGTCTTCACGCAGCCTTCTCTTCTCCAGAGTAGAGGGGCAGGATCACCTCCTTTGACCTGCTGGTCATGCTCCTTTTGATGCAGCCCAGGATATGGTTGGCTTTCTGGGCTGCGAGTGCACATCGTCGGCTCATCTTCATTTTCTCATCGACCAGCACCCTCAAGTCCTTCTCCACAGGGCTGCTCTGAATCTCTTCTCTGCCCAACCTGTAGCTGTGTCTGGGATTGCTCTGACCCAGGTGTAGGACCTTGCACTTGGCATGGTTAAACTTCATAAGGTTGACATCAGCCCACCTCACAAGCGTGTCAAGGTCCCTCTGGATGGCATTCCTTCCCTCCAGCGTATCAACCAAACCACACAGCTTGGTGTCATCAGCAAACTTGCTGAGGGCACGCTCAATCCCACTGTCCATGTCAGCAACAAAGATGTTGAACAAGACCGGTCCCAACACCAATCCCTGAGGGACAGCACTCGTAACTGGTCTCCAGCCGGACTTTGAGCCATTGACCACAACCCTTTGCGTGCGGCCATCCAGCCAGTTCTTTACCCACCGAGTGGTCCATTCATCAAATTGATGTCTCTCCAATTTAGAGACAAGGATGTCATGTGGGGCAGTGTTGAACGCTTTGCACAAGTCCAGGTAGATGACATCAACTGCTCTACCCCTGTCCATCAGCTCCGTAGCCCCATCATAGAAGGCCACCAAATTGGTCAGGCAGGATTTCCCCTTAGTGAAGCCATGCTGGCTGTCACCAAGCACCTTGTTGTTTTTCATGTGCCTTAGCATGCCTTCCAGGAGAACCTGCTCCCAAGATTTTGCCAGGCACAGAGGTGACACTGACTGATCTTTAGCTCCCTGGGTCATCCATTTCCCCCTTCTTGAAAATGGGGGTTATATTTCCCTTTTTCCAGTCGTCAGGAACTTCACCTGACTGCCATGATTTTTCAAACATTATGAACAGTGGCTTAGCAACTTCATTTGCTAGCTCCTTCAGGACCTGCGGATGGATTTCATCAGGTCCCATGGACTTGGGTATGTTCAGGTACTTAAGATGGTCTCGAACCAGATCCTCTCCTACAGTGGGCCCAAGGTCGTCATTCTCACAGTCCCTGCATCTGCCTTCCAAGACTTGGGTGGTGCGGTCAGAGCATTTGTCAGTGAAGACTGAGGCGAAGAAGTCATTAAGAACCTCAGCCTTCTCCAAATCCAGGGTAGCCAATTCTCCCAATAGATTCCAGAGGGGGCCTACGTTGCCCCTAATCTGTCTTTTAATTGCTACGTACTTACAGAATCCCTACCTGTTATCTTTCATATTGCTAGCCAAGTTGAATTCTAACTGGGCCTTAGCTTTCCTAACCTGGTCCCTAGCTTCCTGGACAACATCCTTGTATTATTCCCAGGCCACCAGTCCTTGCTTCCACCTTTTATAAGCCTCTTTTTTCCTTCAAATTTTCAACAGCTCCTTATCCATCCAAGGAATTCTTCTGGTCCTCCTGAAATGTAGATAAATGTAGCATGTAGATAAAACAGAAAACTCTAGATTTGTTGTATTAAACTTGCATTTCCTTGACCCTGTGAAGTATCATTAAATAAGAGGAGTAGTCTTCTATAAGGAGTGGTCAGTCCAGTATCAGTGTGCTGCAAGCAGTATCTTGCTCCTTTGAGATACCTTTTTGGGAGCAAGGTGATTTTAGAGTCTGTTCAACCAGTTACACTTTCCTTCTTGTAACACAAGCCATATTGAGAGTAGCATCTTTGTAACAGGTAGGAATGAAACGGAATATTGCAATGAATGTAAATATGGGTGCCTTAGTGACATTTTAGAAAGTCAAGTAGGCAGATGCACTTCATTAAGTCAGTATTTATCAAGCCATTTGGGCTGCCCCCAAGTCTCTCTTGGCTTCTTGGCTTTCCAAAATTATGTCTCGTGCAGAACAAAGGGCAGTGCAGAGCTTGAAAGAGATGCAAACTGCAAGCCAGTGAGCTGTGTTTGATACTGAAGTTCACTGCAGGCTCCAGGAAAAGCCTTATCTTTTAGTGACCTCTGGCTGTTGAGATAGGATCTGCCTGGGGAAGGGAATTGCAAATGAAAGTGTAATGATCTGTTAAGAATTTTTAGTTTTGTTCTCTTCCTCATCTTCTCAGGGTACATTTTCTCAACTCTATAGCCTCCTCCTTCAGCCTTTGAACAGGGGAAGCAGTGACAAAAAAGAAACTTCACTTACTTCGCATTAGATTAGAGCAACATCTTTTGGTTATATTTGCTTGTTCTGTTACAAGCACTCATCATTAGTGCTGCATTGCTGGGGTTTTCCCAGCACCTCTTAGCAATCCTGCTACCCAGGAAGCTGCTCCAGACCTTGAGGACTTGGGAGGCTGCCACTGCCAAAGGGGCGCGACAGAGAACAAGCTGGCGGAGAAAGCAGGCTCCCTCTCACATTTCTGCCCCCAGGAATAAGACTGGACTGGAGCTGTGGTTACATGAGCATTTCTTTGGCAGTCACACCAGCTTATGCAATCATCACCTCATCTCACCCTCTCCTCATT